AATGCCCCGCGCCCCCGTACCCCCACCGGGCTCCCGCCGCCATCTTTGTCCGAGAGTGCGCAGGGATGGACCAGCCTTGCCCGTGCGAAGGAAGGAAGCAATCGCCGCTGAAGCCTGGCGCAGGCGCAGACGCACGCTGGCGAGAGTGGGCGGGCTCCAGGAAGAGCGCACTCTAGTGGCTGGGAAAAAAACGCGCGCGGGGGGTGCAACCGAAGCTGCGGCGGGTGTTCGCCGCGGACTCAGGTGCCGCGGTTTGCAGCCACCCTACCTACTACGTCATCCTGAACAAGAGGGCGGAACCTTGGCTGTGCTCGCGCAGGCGCCCTGAAGAAGGCGCGCCTGACTCCGTATGCTTGCGCCGAGGCGTACTTGTGCTTGGTAGGTCCTGTGGTTGGAGTGCGTGCTCCGCTCTTATAGCCCCCATCGCTCTTGTGGAACCCTGCTTGTCCTTGTCCCTGTCCCAGGGGGCTATTGTGGCCTTGTGTCTGACCCTGACATCAGGCGGTGTGTGTGCGCACCACTCGGTCATCTAAGGACCCACACAGAAAGTGCACCTAGTGCATGCTGCTCTTTGCCAGATAAACATGAGTGTTGTCCAGTTTCCACAGCAAAATACAATAGCCCAAAAGGAATGAGCGAACAGCTGCCAGAACTTTCATGGGCTTTCGATTTGCTCTGGACAGCGATCTGAAGAAAGTGGACGGGAGGAAAAAAAAAAAAAACATGAACACGTTAGTGGTAATTCCTGTCTGTGCCTTAGACCTACTGGACTCAGCATCTGTAGGCAAGGCCCTGTAGTTTGTTTTAACTAGCCCACCAGGTAATTCGGCTGCAGGCTAACAATTGAGAACTAGTGCTCTAGAACATATATGTAGTTCTGGTTTCTAGAACGGAAATATAGCACACCTGTTACTGAACAGGTTGAGGCCACACTCAGGCCAACTATGGTGGTTTCTACGGCCTGAAGGCGCGTGTAAGAGACTGCTGTGTATCTCCCCAGACCCATTCTAGACCTCAGAATTCAAGGTGTTCCCCTCTACTCTCTTCTGGACTCCTGAATCAAGTAAAAACGTGCCTTTTCAGCCCAGGAACAGGCTCTGGTTTGGGAACAACCTTTCCTACATGTCTTTCAATTTCCCCCTAAATTATGCCTTCTCATAAAAAAAAATCCTGCCTTACCCTAAATCCTCTCCCCTGCCCTTCCCATCCTCCCCCGTTTTTTTCCCTTCAGAGCCAAGTAGTATCTTTGGCTTTCCACATCTCTAAAATGTTTTTCAACTCTTTTGCATACATGGCTCAGTGCACTCTCTTTGTCTTTATAGTTTTCCACTTGATATGAGGGTGTAATAACTTCTTCCATGACTACAATGTTTTTTCTTGTCGTTTAGTCTTTTTCTTTTGGGGGGGAGGTTTTTGCTATAGGGTGCATGTGTGGCCAGAAAGAGACAGACAGAGACAGAATGCGAGAAATCACACCCCCCCTGGGGGGGGTGATGGCCACACCGCAATCCCTTCTCCTCCATTCTCTCGGGATCTTGGGCACGCACGCACACGCACCCGCCTTGAGTTTAAGCCCCCAGACCCAGGACTCCAACCGTGGTCGACTACATGGGAGTCCAGCGACATAGCTATTACGCTAACTGCTGGTCCCCCCTACCCCTGTCTAGAGGTTCTAAGGGAGGAATCCATTTCTTTGTCTTTTTCAGCTTCTTGTGGTTAGCTATATTTCTTGGTGTCTTCTCCTCAACGTGTGTCACCCCAATCTGTGTCTCTCTTAAAGGATGCCTGTGATCACATTTGGCGGACATGGATAATCTAGGATAATCCCCAATCTCAAAATCCTTAATTTATCACATCTGCTAAATCCTTTTTACTATGTAAAGTAATATCCACAGGTTCCAATGATTAGGACACGGTGTGATTATGTGAGGTAGGGGGAGATATTTTTGTTTTTATTTACTTATCTTTATTTTTTAGTTTTTGTTATAGGGCATTTAAGCTTGACATGAGAGACAAAGAGAAAGAGAGGGTAAGTAAGAAATCTCCCCCCTCTCCCCCTGGGAGGATAGCCATGCCGCAATCCCTTCTCCCCCATTCTCCTCTTAGCATTTTTGGCATGTATGCACACACACCTGGCATGTTCTTCAAGTTGCTTGAGTGTGAGACTTGAACCATGCAGTCAGTCATGGGAGATACAGTTGCTTTAACCTCCATGACATTTGGTGGCCCAAGAGACGTTATCAAGCCTACTGAGGTAGACTTTTTTTTTTTCCCCAACATTCATTAATAATATACTGTGATTCTACTTTCCTAGTTGAAAATTGTCATCTAAATATTTGTTAAATGATACTATTATTACAAGAACTGGAAGAAGAAAATTTATTTATTTAAATTATTTTATTTAACTTTATTTATCCATCTATTTATTTATTTTAATTTGACCAGAGACGGATAGAGTGAGTGAGAGAGAGAAAGTGAGAAAGCAAGTTGCCAGGTCTGGGGACCAGTGCCCTTAACTACCACGCCAATCTGCTGGCCCCCCAAAATCAATAATATTGAAATGTGAATGAGATATAAGATATAGAGAAGACTATTAATTTAAGAGTGAATTATACACACACACACACACACACACACACACACACTTTTTGCAATAGGATATGTGCACTCACTGGAGAGAGGCAGCAAGAGAGAGGAAACAAGAAATCACCCCTGAGGGGACGGCCACACCACAATCCCTTCTCCTTCATTCTCTTCTTGGGATTTTGGGATGCACACACATGTACCTGGTGCATGTTTTTCAAGTCACCAGGTCTAGGACTCAAGCCAGGGAGTTGGGCATGTGAGATCCAGTGCCTTAAACACCATGCCACCCACTGGACTTGAAAGGAATCATCTTTTAAGGAAAAAAAAAAAATTAACCATATAATGTAACATTGTGGGGAGGCAAGCTGGTGTTCTGGTAGAAGGATCAGTGTAGTTATCGTATACCATAAATTATGAAGAGTTCTAGGTGGTTGAGATGTGGATGAACACTTACTTTCAATTCTTACAGGAAATCAGTCTTGAATTAAACAAATTTTGGACTATCCAAAGTCTTAGTAAAATGGAACCACCCCGTTCTTTAAAATGTCTTTTGCTCTTTATTCCCTGTAGATTCCTCAACCCACTGTAATCTACTCCCCAACACTAAAAATTGCTCTTACTGAAATTATTAAATAGACAAGTCCAATGATCATTTTGTCTCTTTTGATCTGGTTTTATTTTCTAGATAGTTTTGCTATAGGGCTCATGAGTTTGCTGGAGAGACAGAGACAGAGAGACAGAAAGCAAAAAAATCACCCCCTAAGAGGCCATACTACAATCCCTTCTCCTCCATTCTCCTCTCAGGGTTTTGGGCACGCATGCAGATGTGCCTGGTGTGAGTTTGAAGTCTCTGGGTCTAGGACTTGAACCACAACCGGCCATATGGGAGTCCAGCAACATAATCATTAGGCCATCTGTCGTTTTTAACACTACTGACCACTGATGATTCTGGAAATGTTTTCCCTAGCTTTCCCTGTATCTTTGCGTCTTCAAGCTGAAGGCTCCTGTGTCAGGTAAACCCTTGACTTTGGTGTCCTTCTATTTTCCTGCACAGATTTGTGGTCCTGTTTCTCGACTCCTTTCACGGCTTTTGTTTTTTACCACCCATCACTTTAATGTTGATGTTCCTAAGGACATTATAGATGCTTTTTTTCTCACTCTGTTTTCCTTCATTGATCTCATTTATGCCCAGGTATTTAAATAACACTCATTAATGATTTTCCTGTATCAGCAGTCCAGACTTCTCTTCTGATGGCCATTTGGACTCCGATTTGACAGCCTAGGTGTAGGTGCAGGCCATTTGGAACCACTGGTTGTTTTTCTCCCAATATTTTTGAATACAGATACATTTTAACTGAGATAATA